CATAGTGCCAACTACTCCACAATGGACCTCCTTCTGGAAATTCCTAATCCAGACCTGTATTCACTTGGACTTCCTACGGCAGATACTTCCAAATATTCATAGGTAAACATACCTACTAGGACTTGAACCTGAAACCTGCTCGTGGAGGGTTGGGTGCCTAGACTACTAGGCTGTGGAATCCCAACCCCTCCTGGAAACGATTATTACAACTTCAAAAAGCACTTGATATAATGTTAGCAACAATGGATACTGAAACCAATTATAATACTAAAAAAGATACTAAATGACTTCGTGCAATTATGCTAGTTTAAGATGAATGGAAAACTTTAGAACAATTAACTAATTTATTAGCATCTTTTGCCAAAGCAACTACTTTACTTGAAGGTAGTACTTATTCTACAATAAGCTTTATGTCTCCAGCAATTAAAGTATTTTTACAAAATTGTAAGCCTAAATTAATTGACTATAACAATGATCAAAATGAAATTGAAATCGAAGATATAAATTTTGATGATATTACTACAATATTTGATAATGAAGAAATTGTTATAGATTATGATTATAATAATGAAATTGAAGTTACTATTGATGCTAAACAAATTAAAGTAAATCAAATTATTGAAATAGATAGTCTAGTTTATAAAGTAAAAAAAGCATTATATACTGCATTAAAACATTACTGGAAATTACTTTTAGTAAGTTCTTTAATTGTAACATTCTTAGATCCTCGATATAAAAGAATGGATAAATTTTATAAATGGGAACGAGAGCAAACAATTGAAGCTATACAAGACTTAGTTCAACAACATACTAATCAAGTTAGAATTCATAATGAACATATAGATACTAAGGGAACTATCACTTATTACATAACTATAGCTCCCCTTTAGAGTCAGTCATTTGACAATTACAAGTTCTAAAGTAATTAATCATTTGACAATTGTAAGCTCTAAAATAACTAATCGTATAGAGTTTATATTATAATTACTTTAGAACTTGTAATTGTCAAATAACTGACTCTAGAGGAGGGCTATAATTACACAATAAGTGATAGCTCCCTAAATATTAACTTGTAAATTATATAGTATATTAATTAAAATTTTTATAAAACCTTTGTTATAGTTAGAGAAGTGTCATTTATTATCTAATTTATTTAGCAGGGGTGGGTGCCAAAATATCAAGTTAATAAATCACATGTATATTTTTATACATAATTGTAATCATTTGAGGAAGGAAAGAATTTTACTATTTATAAAAAATCAGATGATAAATGATACTTCTCTTATTAATATAAAGATAAGATTTAAAATTGGAATAAAATTAGTTTTATATTAAAATTTAAAATTTTTTTTGTTAAAAGCTAAAAATAAAGTAAGTTTATAATTAAATTTTAAAAACAACAATATTTTTATATATATACACTAGTATACAAATAGTAATTGTTTATAAAAAATTTATTTTTGTTATGCAAAATTAATTTAATTTTTTGGTTCTCATAACATGGGACAAAAAAAATAATCTGCCTACCAATACTTTTATTCAAAATTTTTTTTTGAAATTCTACTTGCCTAATAAAACATATAAAAAATTTTTTTAAAAAAATTTCAAAATATAACCTGGCTGGATTATAAAACCAAAAAATTAAATTTATATGGTCTTATATTGAATTTTTTTAAAAAATAATATATAATTATAATAGTAGTTGCTTCTATAAGTTTCTTTTGTTTTTGCTGTTTTCTCTAAGATTTTTGATAAAAAGTAGGCGATTCAGCTTACTTCTCTAAAAAATTAGCATTATTTATATCCTAAATTCAGACAAACTCAGTAAAATAAAACCATGTGTTTTGTTTACTTGCAGATATAGTACTATTTTACATGACTTGAATCAAGGTCTTTAGTTAAAGAGGTATCTGAAGTTGGTCAGTAATTAGATAGTGTATACGTTAAGGCATTGCTTTATATTAGAGATATACAATTGTTGCAATTGTCATAAAATTTTTATTGTAACTTGGCATGAGTTATAATAATACATTTCCTTTTGTTTGTTATTACAACTTTTGGGTTGTTCTTTACTACTTTTTGATAGAGGTAGTTTATCTTTATTAGCTCTTGAAAGTTTTTCTTTTTGTTTTTCTTTTTTTTACATTTCCTTGTTCCTTCTTTTGTTTTTCCTTTAAAATTTACCTTTTGTTTATTTTGTTTTTATTAAATATAATCCTCTATCACACTAAGTATCACTCATGACTGCCTGTATTATTATTTTTCACACGTGATCAACAATATTTATAACGATAATATTGTAGTCAGTAATCTTTCCATGAAAGATTTCCAGTCTCATATTGATTATCAGGAAACTCTAATTATTTAAGTATTTTTAAAAAAATTACAATTCATTAGAAATTTTACGCACTGGGCTATAAACATTGAATTAATTGGGCATTTTTTTAAAATTGTTATTCATAGGGCCAGAGATTTTAAATAAATCAGATTTTTGTAATCTAGACCAAGAACTTCAAAGTAATTAGATATTTTTTCTAAATTCTTATTCACAGAATCAGAAGCTTTAAATCAATCAAGTATTTTTTTCAAATTGGCATGCTTTTGATAAGAAACTTTAAATCTATTAGATTTTTTAGATTGATTAGATATTTTTTTAAAATTGTTGAGATTGGGACTAGAGAATTTAAATTGATCAGCTATTTTCTTTAAATTTTCATACTTTAGATCAGAATCTTTAAATCAATTAGGCATTTTTAAATTGTTGTGATCAAAACCAGCAGATTTAAATTGATCAGCTATTATCTTCAAATTTTCATACTTTAGATCAGAATCTTTAATTTAATTGGCCATTTTTAAATTGTTGATATCGGGGTTAGAGAATTTAAATTGGTCAATTATTTTCTTTAAATTTTTATACTTTAAATTAGAATCTTTAAATTGATTGGGCATTGTCTTTAAATTGCTGTAATTTGAAACAGGAACTTAATTTGATCAGTTATTTTTTTTAAATTGTTATACTCTGGATTAATTGTCATACTCTAAACAAAAAACTTTTAAAAGATTAACTTGCAAAGTATGTTAATTATATTAACAATTTCACTCCCTTATTAGTGTTAAATTCGATTTAACAATATTACATATTTAAAAAATAACTATGCAGTATTAAAGATTATATTAATACTTATTTTGTTACAATTTTTGGTATCTTCAATTCTTTATTATCCAATTTGTTATTCAATTTGTTATCTTAAAATGGTTCAGGTCCCTTATTATATTTTGCTGAATATAATTTAGATACTTTCATAAATCCTAAAAAATGTATATATATTAATAAGTTATTTTAATATAGAAGCAATCTGAAAAATTAAATATCAACATTACCTAGTTGATTATTATGAACTAATGTCAAATTATTCAAAATAGTGCCTAATTTTTGTTCTTGAGTAGATATTTCATTTGCTAATGCTAAATAAGAACATAGTTCTAAAAAAATATAATTGTGTAAATAATATTCTAAAAAATTATATATCGATATATATTTATTATCTACTTTTTCAAGAGGGATTAGATTAGAAATATTATCAAATTTACATTTCATAGACTGATGCTAATAAGCTAATATTCTAGCAATTGTTTTATATTATGAAAATATCATCTGCTTATCAAGTGTTACTCCGGTTTCAACAAGACTATGAATACCTGTTAATCGCATCAAATGATTAGTAATTGCATAACCTTTAAAATTCAAATTGGCGTTGCTATATATTGCATATATTATATTATCATGGGATCCTCTTCCAAGCTTTGCAGGTAAATACCATTTACTACAATAGGTATTTTTTGGAGTATTTGTTGTAACAAAGAAATAATCATCTTTTACATTAGTTGGATGTTTTGACAAATATTTTTTAAGATCTGCCACTGGTGTAAACTTATTATTCAAATTATCAGGTAATATTAAACTAATCTCAGCTTTTGCATATGGGTCTTTAATATCTCCAGGATGATTTTTTTCTTTTGGTAGTTCTAGCTGTATTCCACTATTATCTAATTTAAAAAGCCAAGAAGCTTTTAATTATTTGGCATCACTCCCTCTCAAGCAACATAATAATAATAACTAAATCCAGACTCTACGAAGAAGACCTTTAGAATTATTAGTTGAAGTAGCTAATGAGTTAAGTAAAAACTTTATTTTTTCAGATTCTAATGTGCCTGACTGTTTACAATTTTTACTTTCTTTTTTAATAATTGATTTCATGCAACTATCCAATGTTTGATATAAACTTCGAAACTGATGCTTGTCAAACATATTTATAATTCTTATACCCTCTGAAGCTTCAGAAATTCCTCTTGCAATAGCGCAAAACCTAGTATAGAGCGATGAAGCTTTGTATTTTTGTCTATTTGATTTATATACTTCAACTAGAAATTGTTCAAGTTAATCAGATAGTGTTTTATTATCAAGTTTAATAATTTTATCTAAAAATCTATATAGCTAACGAAACTTGTCAAATAAAGTCATTCATTGTACTATGGCTCTGTTAGTATTTTTGTTTCATGATTTCAATAATGTCTTCTTTAGTTAATGCAATGAATCGAGAATAAGACTTTGGCATTTTGATTTTTTAAACAAATAAGCAAATATGTAAATTTGTAATAAATAAAATATAAGTAAAGTTAAGAATAAAAAAAAGCAATATATATAGAAAAGAAGTAAGTAAAAAAAGGTAAATGTAGTAAGAGAAAAATAGAAAATAAAGTGCAGTAAAAATTTTTTTTAAATATGTATTAATAATTAAATAATGACGTAACAATATGAAGTATAAATTGTAAAACACAGTAAAAGTGCAGTAAAATTAATTGTTTTAAATATCGATAATGTGATTAAATAATGATATAGCAATCTGATTAACATCTAGTGACACGCTCCTGGGGATTATATATTTATTTCATGGGAAAAATTATAGCAGAGATTACTGATGATCATATCACATAGGATGGCCCTTTGGGCTATCTCACATGCTATGATTATCGGTAACCTCTGCTATAATTTCTACTCCCCTATGAAATAAATAATACTAGTTTCTTTTTTTTTATTAATTAGTGGTTTTGTGTTGTTGATATAAAATCATCACTTTCTTTTTGCTCTCAATAAAGAAAAAAAAAGTGAAAAGAATTAGCTTATGACTAGCTAACAAAGTTTATCCAACTTGTATACAAGATGGTGTAACAGGTTGCTTATAGGTATATTTATCACAGCCATGAGATACTCACTATTACTAATTAAATAAAGTTTTTGTATTTGAGCTATAGCAGGATTATCAAAGTTTAATTTTTTTTTTTTTTTTTTTTTTTTTTT